TGTGCGCACCTCCATACATCTTCATGTACATATTTCAAGCGAGCCCTATTATCTAAATAGGCGGCCGATAAACTCTGTGGTATGCGGTGGCTCTTATAGCTGTATCATTACACCTATTCCGTGTGTTGCAATATCCACGAAAGCAGCAGTTAACTTTTTATGAAGAAAAATATTTAAAAATATTCGAAAATTATTATTTATTTTTCCAACGTCAAAAGGTGGATTTTTTTTTGAAAAAGTTGGTACAACAAAAAATACGAAACACGTTTTCTGTCAGATAGCTAACATGGCGGATAAGAAGAAGAAGTGAAACTACCTTCTAAAAATTATTGTATCATGGATGGGAGTGCGTGGTGTATTAAGAACGCACATTTATAATAACATACATATTGCCAATTCCAATTGGATAGGAGAGACAGTGGGAAAATATGAAAGCATATTATACGTATGTATGTACATATGTATACTTGTGTATATACCTTTCCTTCACACGGGATGGTGAGCTGGAGTAAAGGTAAACAAAAAAAAAATAAAAGAGCGGGAGAGCGATGCGTGGATGAAGTACACTTTGCGTATTAAAGCAGATGCAATTGCCAAAAATTAAATTGAAAGTGGGAGGCTGCCATTATTTGCGAGTTTAGTATGCACGTAAGTATGTACATATGTAAATTAATTAATGTGAGAGTTTATAGAATTATAGTTTAAAGAAATTGAATTGAGGGCATGGGAAAGGAGCTTAAAAAATGTATGCATATATATACGTGCGATAGAGCATGCGTACCTTGACGAAAAGGCTTTTGCGCCAGCGTACCGAGTTCAATGACGTGACGCAAGAAGAAATTTGCCTATCGTGAGTGCGTTTGTTTTTATCGAACGTTGAAACACTTGTGTGCGGTCGCTGGTTGGGGCTCCACGTGGGATATCAGTAGAACGCGTGAGTTGCTCGACGAGCGTAGTTCGTAGCTCATGTGGACGAGGAAAAAAAGGAATGCTGCCCAAAGGAATATTGTGCGCGCAACTCCACTAGCAACTAGGGATGTGCCAGATATAGATTTTACCGGATAACCGGATTCCGGATATCCTGTAAAAAATAACAGCCGGATTCGGATATCCGATCGGATATCCGGTAGACTGCTGCCCTTAATAAATTTCACAATATTGTTTTTTTGCCGGCTCGAGTTCACCTCGACCTCCGCACCGTTTCTGATGCTACAGAATTTACCACTTCGAAAACACAATTCCGCACACATCTGTGCGATGCTATCGCAGTGAAAAATGGCATCTTATAAACAAACAAAAAACAATCTTCATCAAATTCTTTGCTGTTGAACAATAAAGATGTTTGTTTTCTTACGTTAATTTTTGTTTAAATTAAACAGAACCCGCCTCGTATACTTTCTCCTTGTTCAATTATGTGTTTTTATTTAAATTATTGTGCACAGATATGTCTGTGTAATTAGATGGTTTGACTTACACACGTCAAAAACCCATAAAATTTCAGTTTTTGTTGAAGTTGTATCACCACAAAAAAGGTTTTGGAGATTTTTGAAATAATTTATTAGTTCTAAAATGAAGTCGAATTATTTTCTTTTCTTGCTCATTTCTTCTTTTTATTTAAATTATCTGGCACTTGTTCTTTCACTTTGGTTATCAATTTGATCAAACAGCACTTTACACGGTCCACAGCACATGCCAAACGACTATCAAATTTGATGAAAGCAATGTAAACCGTATAAACTTATAATCGTGTAAGGTTTATAAATGAACTGTCAAAATTTGTATGGAAACTTGTTTACACATTTCTGATAAATTTATCCAGCGATTTCACTGAATAAACCTGATAAACTGAAGTCAATGCAACTGTCGCAACTCAAGCTGTATTTTCTTGGGAAAAAATCGGGAACTTTGCACGCAAATACAACAACAATGTGGTCGAAAATATAATACATGTTTTAAAGCCATTTGAAGAAATGACAAAGCAAGCCAATTTGGACAAAGAGTCAATTGCTTATGTAATTCCTGCAGTAGCTACACTGAATTCTTTTTTGCTAAAGAGATGCAATGACAGTGGTCTTCAAAAATTTAAAACTGAATTGAAAAAATCATTGCAAGACAGATTCTTATCAACAAAAGGTATGAAATTGCGATTCACTTATCAAAAGTATTTATAGAACTATTAATAAAAAAATTTACTTGATTATAGGACTAAACATTCAACAACGACAATGCTTCACTATTGCAACATTTTGTGACCCACGTTTCAAAACTCGTTTTTTTTTCTGACGCCAATAAAGCTAAAAACTGGGTTGTTGATAAACTAGTTCGAAATTATAAATCAGTTAGCATGGAGAAACCAGTTGAATCATATAACTACTATAGTGAAAGCTTCCATCGAAGATCGAGCTCACGAGGATATTTGGCAATGCTTTGAGGAAATCGCCAATGACTCTGATGCTGATTCTAGTGTTTCTAGTAATATGCATAGCCAAACGATTGGTAGACAAGGCAGCGAACGTACAAGAAAAAGGCTGCGATTTATGAACTAGAAATAGAGAAATATTTGCAGCTACCTCTTATATCCAGACATGAAGATCCCTTAACTTGGTGGAAGTATAGCCGCAAAGCATTTCCAAATTTGTTTACACTGGCAATGAAGTATCTCTGCGCGCCACCTTCCTCAGTGAACTTGGAAAGAGTATTTAGTGCATCGGGTAACATTTATGTTGAAAATAGAAATAGGTTGTTGCCCGATAATGCGGAAATGCTTTTCATAATGAAAAATATACAAATTGTTAACTTTGATTACTAATTAGATACTATTAAATTGGATTACAAAAACACAAAATCTAAGTTAAATTTCTAAATTGAATCTTCTATATTCGATATCCGGAATCCGGCCGGATATTAGCCAGTATCCGGCCGGATAACCAGATAACCAAACAACGGCCGGATAGGCCGGATTCCGGATATCTACCGCATACCCGGCACATCCCTACTAGCAACTCTATCGGTCAGGCACACTTTTTGTACATAGAGTATTTGTTGTCTTCTCGAATATACAAACAAAACGCAGTACACATATACTTTATGAACTTTTTAGCCTTTGCTTATGCTCGGCGTGTTGCCCAAAGTATCACAGTATATACAGTAATAAACCTTTTCGCAGTTTTTCACCATTTGGTCCCCGAGGAGTACTTTTGGGTTGTGTGCAGCGCTTTCGTTTCGCGCGCACGCAACACACTGTGGCGAATTTCGCCTCATGATTAGAAATAGTTCATTTCGAGGATAAAATGTACATAATTACGTGTTATTTATGAACAAAATGTAGGTTAAGTATAATATTCATCTTTAATGTATGCTGATATCCATGCATAATGAAAAATAATATCAATAGTTAAGTACATAATTAACGCTTGTGTTTTATAAACTGGAAAACTCAAATCGTAATTATAGCATTGAATGGAGTTTTCTTAAATGTAAGTTTAAAATAAAAAAAAGTCCATTATAAGATTATATTTTTATGAAAAACGTAAATTTTGTGAATTTATCAAGCCAAATTCTAAATTTCCGAATACATTTAAGTCTTTAGCTCAAGAAAAAAAACAAGGTTTGTATAGCTATACAGACCCCAACGCCTGCCAGCGCATCCGCCCAGACAGTCCATTTAGTACACCCAACAGTTCATTATCATGTACGGTGTAATATAACAAATTATACACTGAACTATGATAATCTGTACTAGTATCTATAATAATAGACAATAATTTGCAATGTTTTCCACTTTTGCAATTAGTTTCGGGCACTATTACACAGTCATGACTTGTGCCACTCTGCCATAGTACGGTTGTTGCTCCCTTTCATACCACAGTAATTTTCTGAATCAACAAAATTCATGCTCCTTCTCATTAACAACCCTGATCAGATTTTACTCCCGAGGAGTACTCAAAAAAATGTATTACTGTATATACTGTGCAAAGTATTATTGTGCGCACACGTCTTATGCCTTCGCAAGCTTAATACTATTTTCAGACAGGCAGTTAATCGAGCAATTATCCAAGCTTTCTCAATTAATGCACTAATTAAGATCGATTTGCCATACAAAATTTCAATTATTAATTGCTCGATTGGTAATTAATTGAATGTTTATTCTAGTAAAAACTTCAATGCAACTCTGTTAGGTAAGTTCGTTTTCTTAGTTTTGGTGTGTTCAGTGTTAAATGACAATCAGCTGTTTGACATAATTTTATTATTTTCTTTTTGGAAGCAGCAAACATCAAAAACCAAAAAAATTGTATTTCAACTGCAGGATGCAGAACAATCTGAATGGTGAGTAAATAAACACAAATGGTTATGTGTAATGTTTATTAAAAACACATATGTATGTATTTCAGTTCGATTAGCTCCAAAACCAAGAAAGAGGAGACTGGCTTGGGCTGAGGATGGCGAAGTGGCCATTCTTGATTTGTGGGAAGAGCGCGTTGCTGATCTCCGCGGTGCACGGAAGAATGGCCACATCTACGCGGAGATGGCGAACGAGCTGGCAAAGTTGGGCCACAACTACAGCGCCCGGGATGTGCAGGTGAAGTTGGCGAACTTCACGCAACGCTACAGGTACGAAGAAATAAAGGAATAATATTCAAAACCACTAAAAATTTAATTCGTTAATAGAAAAGAGAAATTGGCTATGGGACCTTCTGGTGGATCACCCTCAACGTGGCCTTTATACGCAAGGGTGCACCAGATAATCGGTGGATTTAAGGCCAATATGTTTTGCGAGCTGACGCTTGAAAACATCAGCGGTATGTATGCGTTTTTGGAATGTGCCTTACTAAAAGCCGTAATGTGTTTAGTGGAGATATTTGTTTTGTAGCAGAGTGACGCGTCTGTGTACATGCTAGAACTATCAGCTCGTTTAGTTGCAGGTTTAAGTGCGAAGGTACACTTCGATTTTGCACGAGCACAGACATACGGTGGTGCTTCAAAACAAATGTTCCACTAAAACTTAAGTAGATACAAATAACTAAACCGTACCCAGGGTTGGCACCTCATGGATCCGATTGCGTAGTAAAATACCAGAAAAATCGTAGTAAAAAATAGAAAATCGTAGTAAAAGATAAAACTTGGTTATTATTTTAAATTCATATGCATATTTAATGTTTTAAAACAAAAACATAACATTTAAATTTCAATAACATTTGTACTCTTTTTTAAGTTTTGTATTATATTTGTTTCTTTTACAGTGGCGTTTTCTAAATACGAGCTTATAGAACTAAACACTTTTTGCCATTTACCCCAGCACTTTACTTTATTTGAGAATATCGATAATTTGATTTCTACAGAATATTGCAATAAAGCGAACTTAACATTCTGCCTCTGTTGAGCCGCTTTCTATCTTCGTATCCATCTTCGCTATCCATCTTCGTATCCCTCTCACACATTGAATCTTTCTGCCTGTTATGCGAAAATTTGACCGGTTTTGCATATTTATGTTGCATATGTTTTTGGTCAGACGCTTCCTCCACAATTTGTAGTAAAAGTATACATTGAGAACTTGAAGCTATGGCCTGTTTGCCACATATTTGAAGTTATAGTGATTTACAAATGGTTGCTGCCCGTAAGTTGAATGAATTATAAAAAGCGTAGTAAAATAGAATAAAGCGTAGTGGGGTAGCAAGTTTTTAAATTTTTGAAAAATCGTAGCAAATTTACTACGATCGTAGCAAAGTGCCAACGCTGACCGTACCCTATCTTTTTAACTTCGATACAAGCACATATGAACATATGTATTTATTTAATGCTGATTTTTTTTATTTCATTCTTATTTGTTTTTTTTTCTTTTAAACAGAATCCGATATAGCATCCCAGCCATCACCACTGACCCCAATATTGCCGTCATCACTCAGCCCAACAGTTTCCTCACCACTGGCATCACCTCTTCCTGCTGTGCCAACCACACCGCTGCCTACACCGTCACCGCCGCTGTCATCACCTCTCACTCCTCTGCCAACCACACCGCTCCCCACACCGTCACCGCCGCTATCATCGCCGTCGTCACCAATGCCTAGCAGCTCAGCTTCTGCGGTTGAGCCTAAAAGAAGGAAAGTAATCGGCACTTTACAAAAGAAAGTATTAGATAAATTTGATGGGTTGTCAGCGGAGATAAGCCAACATATACAGAGGAGTGAGGAAAATGAAAAAGAGTGGATGAAGATAGAGAAAGACAAAGCTGACACACTGAGGGAGATAGCGAATGATAAAAAAGAATTAAAAGTTGGCATTTTATCATTTTTAAATAGAAATTAATAACACTGTACAGCACTCGGCTGGGTATTGGACCAAACCAACTTTTTTAAAGAGATTGAGCCATAAGTAAAAAAAAGTTAGTTTTCCGTTTTTCGAAGTTAGCCTTCGAAATCGAGATATGGGCCTTCGAAGTTCGAAATTGGACCTTTGGCAAAAAATTATTTTTAATTATTGCATGTAAAAACCAACAAAAAGTAAAAATACAGACGTGGTCCGCCTTTATATGGTATATAAATTTTTTTGCGAAAACTCATATTACAGGTGCTATAACGGGTCAAAGTCAGATGTTCGAAAAATGAAAAACTTAATATTTCAGACAATTTTGAACCGATTTTAAAAGGATTCACATCGTTGTAAAAGTTATTAAATCCGCTTTCTTTCGATATGCATATTTGTATACTTCGTATATAAAATTTTTAGAAAAAACACATTTAAATGAAAAAATACCTTTTTTTATAAAAAAAAATATTTTAAACAAAAATATGACTAACCCATTTTTTAAAAATTGGCGTCGTTGTAAAGGTGATTAAATCCCCTTTCTTCCGATATGCATATTTCTAAAAATCGGTTAGTAATTTTTTTGTTCAAAATACTTTTTTATAAAAAAAGTTCTTATTTCCTTTAAATGTGACTTTTCTCAAATTTTTTAGTATGAAGTATACAAATATGCATATCAGAAGAAAGGGGATTTAATCGCCTTTACAACAATATAAATTGTTTGCAATATAAGGAAATTAATTTTTCGAAGACCTGTACTTTGACCCCTTATATAGGTAATATAGGTCTGCACAAAAAAATTGATTTAACATTTAAATAAAAGGAGGACTACGCCTATATTTTTAGGTTTTTAGTTATTTACATACATGCAATAATTTAATATAATTTTTTACCAAAGGTCCTATTTCAAACTTCGAAGGCCCATATCTCGATTTCGGAGGCTAACTTCGAAAAACGGAGAAATCACTTTTTTTTCATATGACTCACAAAAAGTATATACAGTGGACGGTATTTTTATAGATAAATAACAAAAGAAATTTAGCTCGAAAAAAAAAATGTAAATGAATTAAATTAACAAATAAAAATTGTACTCACTAAAATAATTGCATAATCCTTGCCTTATTTCTTCAGCTGAGGGTTGATTGTCTCCAACTATCGTGACATATTCAGGATTTTCGAGATTTCTGTTCACTTCTTGCAATCTCTCCAACCACATGTCATTTATAGTGTCGTTCATTTCATTTAAATAATTGTGCAAGACGCAGCAGGCTCTAATAATGATGGGTGCCTTCCCAATTCGGTTGTCTAAACCTTTTCCAACACGACGGAATCGTCCTTTCAAGTGGCCAAATGCATTCTCAACTACTCTTCTGCACTTTGAAAGCTTATAATTATAGAGTTTTTGTGTTTCAGTTAAGGCCATTGAAAACGCGTATGGCTTCATTAAGGAGGTGGAAAACCGAAACGCAGAATCTCCAATAATGCATATAGGCATTTGTACTCCACCTATTTCTTTCTTACTGACCTTCAGTAATTCGTTCTCCTCCATTACTCGCTTCATTAACGATGCATTATATATCTGCGAGTCATTGCATCGTCCAGGAGCACCAATGTTCACATATAAAAACCGATATCTGAACATATATAGAAATAATTAATACATGCTTTTTAGAAAAAAACAACAGGATGAAAGTTAAATAACCTGTAATCCACTACAGCTAGTAGAACAATGGAATACCATCCTTTATAGTTGTGGTAGTCGGTTGCATCGGCTGGATTCGGCCTAACTTCGATGTGGCACCCATCTGAATATATATGTATGCACGTATATCTTTGTTTTTATATAAATTAGTTGCATTTTTAACTTTCTTACCAATTGCTCCAAGGCATTGGGGAAAGCCGAGACGGTCAAAACCATCAACACAGTCTTTTAAAGTTTGTGGAGTCGGTGGTAATTTCTTTATGTATTGCGCTGACAAAGCTTGCCAGACTTCCTCGCAAAACTCCCACAAGATTGTGCACACGGTCGATATTCCAACACCAAATAGTTCGGAAACCACTCTGTACTCTCCAGACGATCCCAGCGTAAATAGAGCTAGCGCAACGCGTTTTTGCAATGGAATCGCGTTGCGCCAGTTTGTGTCGGCTTTGTGCAGGTTTTTGAGGAAGCCACAGAGTGTTTCAAAACTAGTGCGGTTCATGCGGAAGTGCGTCTTAAAGAAATGGTCATCGTTGCAATTGCAATTAACTTCCCAGAAAGAAGACTGCCGATTCTGTAATAGAGGAAGTATCATTTATAAAAGGACAAGAACTGATTACTTATAATCTGATTTACCAATTTCCAGAGGGATCTCTGAGTAGCGTTCCTCTGCAGTAACCCGTAAAGCAATAGCTGCTGTCTTCGCAAATGTTGCAAAATTATGAAGTTTTTTTCTTTTCTTTTTTTATATAAGGCCATTGAACTTGCGTAGCTTGCCAGCACTGACTGCAAAACTTGTATATTTGCAGTATACGCAAGAAAAAGTGCGCTTAAACACTTATTGTTTTCCATTTTACCAATTTATTTTAAATAAACAAAAATTCTTTTAAGACAGCTGACAGCCACTCGTTAATCGAGCAGCTGATTGTGTGTGAAACACAAAAATCTAATACTTAATTAAAAACTTAATTGACTCAATTAATTTTCTGTCTGAAAACAGTATAAAGCCAATTGAATTGTCTATCGTCGGCAAACTCAAACGCAAACAAACGAAAACCAACATGGGTTGCCGTAGTGTGTTTGCCAGCGCTGCACAAAATGGAGTTTGTTACACTATTACACAAAACCCCGCAGGGTCGCAATTGTTTATGAAATCTATTACAATACATTTTGTGTTGTTTACATTTACCACCAAACGAACAATGAAATATTAAATGAAAAATTAGAGTAGTTTAGAATTTAGGAAATATATGATTGCTTCAGTCTCCCCTTAGGATGCTGAGATCGCCGCGATGAGGCAGCCTACTTCCGAGTCTTCCGTCGACGCCCCCGTCGGCGTATGATGTTGACACGAACCTCGCGAGGCACTTACATAAGGAGTCAGCATTGATGTGTGGTACTAAAGTTATTCGCAAATGAAAAGACAAATAATTTTTATTTGGTATAAAATACGTCTTGCCTGTTTGGCTATTTATTCAAGGAGGAAAATGTCATAATACATTTGACAGTTATGTTCTGATCTGAAGATGGTGTAAAACAAAATGAGTAATAATGTCAATGTGATAATTCTATTACGATATTTCAACTTAATTGATATTCACATTAATGAATTTACATTATTTATCTTAACACAGTCGTATTCTGTAATATAAAATCAAAAAAATATGTTCAATCCCATTTCTTTTAAACAAAATGAATGCTTTTGTATTGCTACAGTATTGGTGAGATTTTCAGCAACTATTAAATCAGTTGAAATTTTTGTAACCTTAATATTATGCTTTAAACACAATCTCTTATAAAATTATGCCTTATAGAAATGTGTTTGTTCTTAGACTAAAAGTTCCAGTTTCAGTTAAATCAACGGCTGCTTTATTGTCGCAGAAAATTTCAAGCGGTGACCAATCTCCACCAAGTATTTCCTTCTTCAATTGGCTTAGCCAAAGTGCTTCCTGAGTGGCTGCTGATAAACTCATGTACTCAGATTCCGCTGTACTCAATGCAACAGTCGGTTGCTTCTTTGTAGCCCATGATATTGCTGCACCTTGCCATAGAAATGCATACCCAGTGCATGATTTGATATCGACAAAACTCGATGCCCAGTCTGCATCGGTGTAGCCACATAATTCATCGAATTTCGTATCTAGAGCATATGTCAATTTGTAGTGCAATGTTCCCTTAAGGTAGCGCAGAATGCGCTTTACAGCTGTCCAATGAGCCTGCCCATGCTGTTGGTTAAATTGACTTACGCTTGCAACACTAAACGAGATATCTGGCCGCGTGCATTGCGCCAAATACAATACACATCCCACTGCTTCCTGATATGGCACATTCGAAACGATTTTGGTTTCTGCCATATCCTTCTTATGTTTTTGATTCGGATCGCTTGGAATTTCACGGGATCACAATGGAAGATGTTGAATTTTCGCAAAATATCTTCAATGTAGCTCTGTTGATCTAAGCTAAGTGTTCCAGCTTCACGATTGTAGTTGATGCGAATTCCCAAAACGTTAGTGGCTGCTCCCAGGTCCTTCATGTGGAAGTTCTGCTACAAAGTACATTAAAGTTCATCTTTCCACTCGTCGTTGTTATAGAAAAGTAGCAAATCGTCTACATAGACGGCAATCACAACGAGCGACTTTTCATTTCGACGCACATACTCACATGAGTCCTTTTTACATCGTACAAAGTCAGCCGCTTCCAAAACACAATTAAGCTTCATGTTCCATTGTCGGCTTGCTTGCTTTAGTCCGTAAAGCGATTTAATATGCATTCAAACGCGACCACTACCGACATCAAATACCTCTGGTTGGCGCATGTAAATAGTATCGCTGATATCACCGTGCAAAAACGCTGTCACTACGTCCATTTTCTCGATTTTCCATCCAAATTTAACAGCCATTGCCATAAAGAAACGAATAGACGTGCATCTAACGACTGGTGAGAACGTGAGATTAAAGTCGATTCCTTCACGTTGACTATACCCCTGTACCGAGGTACTTGGCTGAATAGCTACACTCACATCCTCCCTTATTTTTTTTGTTTAAGGACACTATTTCTCCTTGCATCCTACTAATATTTCACTTCCGGTCTAATGAATTTATTTTGGTACTCCATAAAATAATTATTCATTACACCCTCTGCTAGCGAAATCAGAACATTTCCATGCAACATCTGATTTACGATAACGATTTATCGATAAATTTCATTGTCTCAGCCACTTTAACTAACTTCTGCGAAAGTTTTTCTTTCTTTCCTGTACGAACGACCAAACGGAGCACATTATAACCGAGGATTCTTCCTGAGTAAAAGTACATAATTTTTTTTTAAGTCATACCTTTGTGCTTGTACTGCTACTATACATGTGTATGTAGTAATAAACAAGTTTTTTTTATAAAGTTATATTTTCGGGTGTTTCGTGTGACTCCGGATACATATTTCGTTCCGATAATCAGCGGTAAGAGTGTGGTTTTCTTAATTATTTATATAACTGAAATTATAATGTCATTAGGTGCCCAAGTAATCATACCTAGTCATAAAATTTCCGTAAGTATCTTTACTAAACGCTACAACGCTAAAATTTGTCCTGAAAAAAAAGAAGATCGTTCTTTATAAAAACCTCACACATCAAGCGAACCCTTGGTTCGACTGTTAAGCGATTCTGTGCGTTCCACATGCAACGGCACAACAAATTACGCATACACCTGTTTGGCCAGAACAGAAATAGATGATCCACTCATCCATCAAAACCTCCAGAAAATTGGTTATAAAACTTACAAATCAAACTTAAAGCGACCATTACTTTTATATAAATACGAGATATATATATATATAGGTAGAAAATTTAATCTCGTGCATACTTCTTTTTTTTATAAAAACTATAATCATAACCGCTTATATTATAATCAAACTTCGTCACTATCAGCTAGTGAGTAGCTAACTCTGATCCCAAATAATTGCACTCTCTGTAACCTTGAGATCAACCTTATCCCTTAAGTAATCTGAAAATAAATTTTTACATAGTTAAAATCAATCATAACAATAGGATTAAAAAAAGGAATTGAACTACCTAATTACATATATAGGATCTATACAAGTATGTAAATAGAACTTGATATGCAAACTTAATACTTACCTTTTCGTCACTTACTATATACCTACATACCTATGTATGTACAAATGCATTATTAGATTTTATGTACTTCTCCTTCTTCTTCGGCACCATGTGAGGAAACCACTTGGCACTGTAGAAAATTTCCATACCTTCCCCAACAAACATTCTTCTTTCTGTTAACATTTCCTTATCTAGAAACATTTTAGAGAAGTTCTGAATTAACTTTTAGTGTTTACATAAATATAGTTTAATAAGGTTTGAAAGAATATAATTTGTTTAATTTTTGGTTCATTTTTGTTATGAACCTTCCTTCCCTGGTTTACGCGCAAATTCATTCTTTGTTTTTTTCCTTCTTTTTTCTCCTTTGTTCGTGCGCTCTCTGGCTCAACCTGTACAGTAGAAGTAAAACTTATATTACCGAAATTTAAAAGTAAGTTTTTTTCTTTGCCATATTGTTAATTTTAGTCTTGAGATGCGGATATTTTGTTAAAAATATTCAATATTAAAGTAAAATTGGCAGGGATTGTACTAAAAAGGAATTACAGCACTACGATACCGGATCACTTTATAGCGAGGAGGCCTCTACGCTTCGTGGGACTGCAGTATCGACACACAATGTAAGTGCTTTGGTCATAATTTTCTTCCACCCTACTGTTTGCTTTATATATTCTTATTTTCTTTTTTTGGATTTGTCAATCCATATACAAGTATGTAAGTATATTTGTGCATACCTACCTGACTTTGGTTTAATGTTGATTAATTAAATTTTAATTGTTGGTCTGATTTCGAAGGAAGTGTAGGTGGTCCAATGGGGCCTTTTGACCATCGTAGAGGCCAAGGTAGGGCGGGTACAGAGCGGCCCAAGAGAGTTTATGGCACTGCTAGGTGATGTGGTAATAGACGTTAGGAGAGTAGATACTGTGTAGCTTATTGTTAGTTTGTACGTTCTTATCAGTGTGCAAGATATAATATTTCTTGTTAGGTCTTTAGTGTAGGGAGAAGGGGACTTGGTCCTACTATTGTGTAATGACCCCCCCCCCACAGACTGAAGCTCCGGGAACAAGCCAATGCACACGCCGCAGTGGTAGGACGCTTCCACAAGCCCTAGCTTACAGTTTCGACCAGGTTTTAATTATGTTAAGTACGCATTTAGTTTGTTTGATTACGATTAGTACAAAAAATTTTGCTGGAATCGAAGTTTCTTCAGGTTGTATGCTTAGGAATTTGTCCGCAATGGATTATGCATTTAAATGGTTATCCAACTAGTACTTTCACTTTAGATTTCAAAGCTTTTATGGCTGTGGATTTTGTTAGGTTGTTAGGAATTTAGCTGTAGTATGGCTAAATGCTTGCTAGCTTACCAACTGCTTTTTCTTTCAATTTTTATATTTAACGAGTTTTGATTTTTGTACTTTCTCAATTCCCCTTTGAGATCTTTTTCATCAATTTTTTTTTTAATTTTCTTGTTTTTTTTTTTAAATTTTCTTAAATTTTTCGGAATTTTATTGTGAAGATTTCGCACAGGGTTCGTATTTGCACACACATGTGCAGCACATCCTAACATTTTAAGCTCACACACGTGTGCTGTGCATATAAAAAATTAAAAATTTGCTCACATCACATGTGTGTGCCGTTTGGTAAAAAGCACGGGCACATGTGTGTACTTTCTTTTTATTAATGTAAAGCACACGCACATGTGTGTGCTATGCGTAGAGAAACGTATACACTTCGAATTCTAACTCAAATCTTAAAATAATTTTTTAATATGTTTTCTGTCATATAAAAAACAAACAACATCTCACTTTTTATTGAATTGTCTTTCAAAAAATAACGTTTAATAAACAAATTCTTTTAAGAATATATTATGTGCATGTGCATGGGCTGAAATTTGTACAAAAATCGGCTCACACACATGTGCATGTGCTTAATAACAAACAGCACACACTTTTCTGTGAGTAGAGTTTGTTTTCCACTTATGCACACACATGTGTATGAGCAGTGAGTGCAAGTTGAATGTGTTTCTGGCGTGTGTGTGAGCAGAGCATGTGTGTGCAAATACGAACCCTGATTTCGCAGTAACCGATATCAGGTTTTGTTTTTTTTAGTTTTATTTTCTTCGTCATCAATGCTCTAAGATAATTAGTGCCGGCTTACTTTAGTCTAGAATTACCCATCACCGACTTTGACCACCTCACGACCGAAGAAACAGACCTTATCTATCTTTTGTTATTTTTATTTGCTTGATATATTTTTCTTTTGATTTTTGACGATTTTGAACCGATTAAATTTTGTTTGATTCAGGTTCCTGGTGCAATTAAAATACATCGGTTTAGTTACTATTGGTAAATATAAAAGTTTAGTTTTGTGAAATTTCTATAAATACCACTTGGAACATTTTTATTTTTTTTTGCGTTTGTATTAACAAGGCTTAAAGTATTTTTTGACGCTTTTGTACACCAATGCTAATTTATTAAATACAGGGTTTTTCGAAATGATTTGTTCTTTTCACAATCTTGTGAAATATTGAATTCAGTATATTAATGAATTAAACTAGTAATACCCTTAAAAAATAAAAAAAAATAAAGAATAGTCAGAAACACATTCTAGCTGACTTTTTAATAAACACACCAGAAAATATTTTTTTTTTGTTTTTTTCTACTTTTGAGTTGGAGGATCCCTTAGTAAGAAATTACAAACGAATTTTTGTTTTATAACTACAAAAATACTTAACCCCTCCATTCTTTATCACTCGGCTAGATTTTGGTTTTATTATCGGCAGGTTGGTTCTCTTTCTGTTAGAGGTGTCAAACTATCGATAGTCACACCATCGATAGTTTTGATAGTTTTCAGAAAAACTATCAATATTCACGATAGTCTCGAAAAAAAAAACAAAACTATCGATAGCACTATCGATAGCGCTAAATCAGTTATGTTGTTTTGTTTTTACATGATCATAGTGAAATAAATATTATCTTATAAAAGTTATAATCATTCAAACTTAAGTAACTGCTTAGCCAAAATACTTCTCTTTTTAGAAAGTTCAAAAACAAACACAAGTTATACAAATAAAACAGGATTTACGATTAACACATGTATGTATGTTGGCCTAAATGCGTGCATATTTGAATATGACGTCGGCATCACACTAAAAAACAAAATTTTTAATTCAAATTAAAAAATTCAGGTATTACCAACAGTAGTTCGATAGTCCTACTAAACTATCGATATTTTTGATAGTATAAGAAAAAAATATCAATGAGTATTGATAGTCTAAAAAAATTGAAACTATCGATAGTGCCATCGATAGTTTGACAACTCTACTTTCTGCTTGGTGTTTTTATATATTTTTTTTCCTTTTCCCTCATATTTATTTTTTTTTGGCCATTATTCGATATCTGGGCCTGTGACCATGCCGTTGAATCATAGTGGGGAGTGCATACCACCGCAGGCAAATTTGTGTACAATTTGTCGCGAACGGTTCTCTGAACATGATGATAATTTGTTGACGGCTTGCTCACACCAGTTCCATAGGGCCTGTCTGCTGAACTGGCTAAAGCGTAATTCCAATTGTCCGCAATGCCGCGCGAAATGTCACAGCCGAGAGTTCGGTCAAAACGCAGGTGCACAGACTAGAGCTCGTGTGGCGCAACACTCCGAGGAAAAATCGAATAATAGGAACCCCGACTTTGCCACAAATCTACAAGCTTATCAACAGCAAACCGAAGATGCTGCAAGTTTGCCTGTTGCCAATGCACCGGAAGTTAGCGTTGATGTCAATGACGAGGATAATCGGATTCGTAATATCGTATCCGCGGTAATGTTCGCTAGGCAAGCTGCAAATTTTAATAATTTAGAAGACCGTGTTTCGCAATTAATCGAACAAAAGCTCGAAGATGTTATGTCCAATTTAATGACTCGGTTAAACTTAAACACTCAACCCGCTCAACCAACAGCAAATCGTAACCCCAAAGTAAGTGTTCCCCAACTTAATATGCCGCGGAACAACTCGACGCCATTCTGGCCTAGAGATATTACAAACCTACCACATAACTCGAACCAAAACTTCCACAACCAGATTGACGAGTTACGTTTTAGTGACATATCGAGTGTCCCAAACTCTGGCCGGATAGCTCAGTTGATATCTAATTGGGACATAAAATTTGACGGTTCACCGAAGCTGTCAGTTGACAGTTTTTTTTTATCGGCTTGAATGCCAAGTAATAGACACGTTGGGTGGTAATTTAAATCTGCTGTGCGAACACATTCAAAGTTTGTTCTTGAATGAAGCAAAGGACTGGTATTAGCGATACCGCCGTACCGTAGAACGTGTTATGTGGCCGTCGCTTTGTGAAGCGCTGCGTACCAACTTTCAGCAGCACAAGACTGATTTTGAAATCAAAGAGATGGTTCGCAGCAGAAAACAGGGACAAAATGAAAGTTTCGACGACTTCCGTAACGCTGTCCTTAAACTAGCTGAACCCTTGCAGTCACTGTTTCCAGAATTGGAATTAATGGAAATTTTGCAACATAACTTACGACCCCGTATACGACAACAGTTACTTTACGTACAAATAAATTCTTTAGCGGAATTGCGTAGGCTTTGTCTCAAGAGCGAGAGCCTTGTTAACGAGATAAACAGGTCAACCAACGCATTGCCAAATGTAAACCCGCGACCGCAATCACGTCGTTACGTCAACGAGGTACAAGATGAAAACGATCTAGCAGAAAGTATAGGAATTGAGCCTGAAGTCGATGAAATCTCCAAGCTGTCAGCTGAAGCAAAACAAATATGCTGGAATTGCCGACGAGAGGGGCATAGATACTTCGATTGCTTCGAAATCAGAACGGTGTTCTGTTACGGTTGTGGAGCTCCGGAGGTCTATCGACCCAAATGCAGCCGCTGCAATCCGGAAAACTTGAAAGCGAGCGAAGTTCCCCGGAATAATCCTCGCGACGATCTGAAACCATAAGCGATTGCAAGTTCATCATACGCCCTGACGCACCCCCAAAAAGCGATTGCGTAACGCCACTTATACACCCTGACAATCCCGTTGAAAATTTCCCTTGTGAGTAAACCCCCTTCTTCTAGCCGCTCGTCCGAACGTTGTAAACGGTTTTGGCAAAACGTTAAAACAAACCGCAAGATCTTAAGTAGTGTTATCGGTTCTATTGAACATAAGAGCTTTGATTTAAGACCATACGCTAAAATTACGATATTAGATTCCGATCAATTGGGTTTGCTAGACAGCGGAGCACAAGTCTCTTGCTTAGGTTCCTCGTTAGCCGATTATGTGTGTAAGCAGAAACAACTACGTAAACATTCCGCTTCGGTTTGTACGGCGGATGGTAAGAATCAAATCGTGTATGGCTCAATCGACTTAAGTGTGAAATTTGAAGGCAAGAACGCGATAATAACATTTTTTGTGATTCCAAGTATGTCCCAAAAAGTTATACTGGGAGTAGATTTTTGGGTTAAATTCAAAATCGCACCACATGTTATTTCAGAAATTTCGTTCGATTCTACACCGGATGAAAATAGTATCCTCTTGAGTGGTGAGCAACAGCACCAGTTAGATTTAATAAAGAATAGGTTTCCTAGCTTCGAAAAGGAAGGCCTTGGAAAAACCTCCTTAATGGAGTATGTAATAGAGCTTGAATCAAACGTTCGTCCGATCAAAC